AGCCCCCCCCCCCCCCCGAGGTGCGCCGTCCGCCTCCGCACCCGCCGCCTCCTTACCCGCTGCCTCCTTACCCCCAGCCCCCCCTCTTCGCCGCAAGGTACTCGTTCAAGATGCCAATCATCGTCACGCGCGGCAACAACGTCTTTGGGCCGCACCAGTACCCCGAAAAGGCGCGCGCCGCACGCCCGGCGCCCACCCGCCGCGCCGCCGCGCCGCCGCGCCGCGCCGCGAGCGCTGCCCGCCGTCTGTCCCTCAGGTGATCCCCAAGTTCGTGCGGCGGCTCGTCAACGGACTGCCGGCGGCTCGGCCGCGGCGGCGCTCCGCACCCGCCGCACGGTTCTGCTCACGCCCGCCCCGTCCGAGCAGGTTTGCATCCACGGAGACGGCTCCAACTCGAGACACTTCATCTTTGTGACGGACGTCGCTAACGCGTTTGACACGATCATGCACAAGGGCGTGGACGGCGAGGTGTACAATATCGGCTGCGACGACGAGTTCACCAACCTCGAGGCTGCGGGCGACGCGCACGCGCAGGCCCCGCGACGCGCCCGCGCGACGCCCGCCGCGCGCCGCCCTGTAGGTTGCGAAGAAGCTCGTGCAGGCGGTCACGCCCGGCATCAGCGACGAGGAGGTTGCCGCGCAGATCACGCACGTGGAGGACCGCGCCTTCAACGACGTGCGCTACTACATCGACTCGAGCAAGCTGCAGGCGCTGGGCTGGAAGTGCCAGGTCAGCTTCGAGGAGGGGCTCAAGCGGTGCGTCGACTGGTACAAAGCCGTCGACAAGAACTGGTGGCCGATCGGGACAGACTCGGCGCTCGCCCCCCACCCCGTAAAGCCCAAGGACGCATCACCGTGCGAAGTCATCAAGGGCAACTGACGAGGAGTGAGTCTGCGGAGACTGCTGGGCGTGGGACGCCAGGCGCGGTGGCTGTGGCACATGATTGGTCCCGTGGCACGTTATTGGTCCGCTGTGCGGCGTGGCGCGTGCGGCGGCACGCACAGCTCAGGTGCGGGGCCGATTGCGGATTGGCGACTACACACTACACTGTGTCCGTGAGAGAGTTTGGACATTGGAGGGATTTGGCAATTGCCAATTGGCATTTGCCATACGGCCGGTGTACAGTCTCTAAGGAGGGCGGGAAAGATTGATTCTCGCCCTCTGTCTGTAACTATTGATATTGATTATTGACAGCATCCCCTCTAACTATTGACAATATATTGACATATTGATCGCTGATTCGTTAACCTCCTCAAGCTCCAAGAGCACACACCAAATGTCGACATTTCTCAATCTCATTGTCCACACATCGGAGTTCGGACGCCTAGACAACAAAAGTACTCGCTCTCTTTTATGTCCCACCATGCAGAGCGCATCTCTCTCTCTGTTGTGCGAGGCGTGAACCGCGCCATTCGCTCTCACCTGGCAACCCTGTCTGCACGTCTCGCGCGCGCGTGAACAGGGCTCCAGGCCCCGAATTACGTGTGAGTGTTAGAGTTGTTTGGTATTGCTAAAAATCGACGCCTAGATGTGGGGGCTGAAATCGAAAAAATCACGAGTTCAAAGCGATTTTTATGCGATTTAAGCGATTTTGAAGCGATTTGGGCCCGTTTTGAACGATTTAGAGCCATTTTCAAGGCCCGGGATGGGCCCCCTATTGGTATGTTGAGTCCAACCTGACGCGGTCCTGAGACCTGACCAGCCCAGGCCCAGCCTCTCCTCTAACTATTGCAACATATATTGATATTTCCCGCAAGTACGGGCGCACTTGGTCCTAAAACGTAAAATAAACGAGAAAGAAACGAACAGACCGAACGCAAGGGAGGGATGGGAGGACTAAAAGAAAGGGACGGCACGCCGCCACACAAAGGGAATTAAAGGGGAGGAGTGTGGTGCTAGCCGTCGCCCACCCTAACCCTTGGTCGAGCGTCTGCCTCTTTCTCTCTCCCTGTTCGCAGTCCCTCGCCGATTCTCGCTCTGCAACCTTCATGCCACCTCGCGGTCGTCCCACTCTCGTCGTTCTCCCTCCTGTCGTTTCCTCCTCTGTCGCGTCGTTCTCGTCTGCCTCGTCCTGCGACGCCGCCGCCGCCTGCCGATCCCTTGCTCTCGCGGCTTCTCCCCGCCTTTCGTCGCAGCTCTGCCCTCCTGGCGGCATATTTTGGCCCCTCGAGTTTATCGAGCTCTCCTCGCGCAAGGACGACTCTTCTGACGCCCACTGCGATCATTTGCCGCCAAGTCATATCGTTGCTCAGGTCCACTCTCTCTTCGAACACTTGTACCTTCACGGATGAAGCCGGCGCTGGGGTCCCCTTCGGGTGCATCGTGACGGCTGACTACGGGATTACACTGGTGTTTCGTTCTCCTCGGAGTCTTCTTCCCCGGCTTCCCCCCGTTTGGCTCTTACTACGTTTCGATACTACGTTCATTTCGTTCAGCGTGGCTCACCCTCCATGCCGTGAACAGGCCGCGCTTTATCCATCCTATATTCTTCTCTCTCTCCTCTGCCCGTGCCTTGGTCTTGTCGTTGTTTCGCACCCATGTCTGTATGGCGATCGAGGCTGCCTTCCCCACTACCTGTAGTTCACTCGTCACCTCTCCTGCCAGCGGTCCTGCGAGCTCCCCTCTCTTTCTTTCGGGTGTGTATGGAGTCCGTGAGTGCGGGCAGCGTGCAGGCAATCACGGGCGCTATTTTGTCGTACTCCCCTTCGGCGAGCGCTCCGAATCTAGACCCCATTGCCTTTAAGGAGGCTGCCCTCGCGCGTCTCAACACAAACACGAGTTGTTTGGTATTGCTAAAAATCTCTCTCGCGTCTCAGGAATGCGGCTGTGTCTTGGGATGGCGGATGGGAGGACTTGGTCCAAAAAAAGCCTCTCTTTTTCTTTCTCCTCGCAAAAATGTGTTGCATGAGCTCTGACGATGGGACGCCCCCCTGAGCGCCCCCCCCCTTGAGAGACCTCGAAAGTGCTGCGTCTGCCTCTACTCGCCCGGTATGAGCTCGTGGTTCGTGGCCGCCTTGATTGCGTCGGTGTGCGAAGGCAGCAGCCCAGCCGTGCTCGCGGGCCCACGTGCGGCGCTGCAGCGCCGCCGCGGCGTGCTCAGCGTGGCGGTCCGGCTCCGTGGCGGCGTGTCGCAGCTCCAGTCGCTCGAGGAGTGGGAGACCATTCGCAACGAGGAGTCTGATCGGCTGGTCGTTCTCGACTTCACGGCCACGTGGTGCGGGCCGTGCCAGCGGATCGCGCCTGCCTACGCCGAGATGGCTGATCACTATTCGGATCGTGCGCTGCTCGTGAAGGTTGACGTCGACGAGTTGCCAGAGCTGGCGGCCGAGCTTGGGGTGTCCTCGATGCCGACTTTCCTCTTCTTCCGCGATGGGGAGCAGGTCGACATGATGCGCGGGGCGGATGAGCAGGGCCTTCGCTCGCTCATCGAG